TTCGGCATCTGCGAGGTACGCTGGAGGTGAGTTTACTCTTTGGTTGGAACACTTATAGATTTTAGATTTCTTCATATATCAATAAAGGAATGAAAGTTTGTTTCTATAATAAAGTAAACAGAATTGCTGAAGGAAAAAAAAAAATTTTATTATTTAAGATTTTTGGTTCTTTGATTGCAAATTCTAAGTCTAAAAATTTAATTAGATGTACAGTCTTTAAAACTGGTTATTATAAATCTAATTTTGCACAAATTAAGGTTAGGTTTCAAAGAACAAAGTTATGAAGCCAAATAAGCCTTTCTATCAAAAGAAAATATCATTTATTTAAAAAATTTTTTAAATAAATAAAGTAGTGATTACATGTAAAAAAGACCTAGAAAAAAATATGTTTCCTATAGATAATGTAAAAACAAACTTTGTACTTTATATATATAGTAACACAAATTAATTAATATCAAAATAGTTTTACTAAGAAGAAAGGTGCAGCCTATACATATATAAAAGCGAGACTTAGTTATTATATATTAATCATATTATATAAATGGGGTGCTGTTAATCAAAATATCCCATAGTAATTATTTATATTGTTATACAAAATGATAAAAATTAGTGCATATCTAATTGTAACATAGGGTTGCATAGGGTGACATTGGGGTGTCCAATGTACTATATAGATCAAATTTATATATAGTCTTATATAAAACTTATTAGTGGATTTTTTTTTTGATGCTACATACCGTTACATTTTTTTTTATTTTTTGTAGTTTTTAATATACCTATACATATTTAGTTTGTTAATATATATTTTTAATAAAACATATTTTTGTAATGAATAGAAAAGCAATATTCATAGTTTATATCGAAAAAACAGAAAGTAATACTTTTTTATTATATAAAATTATATATTAAAAGTAACTAATTTTGATACAAATCAAAAAATATTCTGATTGCCTCTTCCGTTCTAAATATTTTTTGTTCACTTCAGAAATTTCATGCAATTGTTTTTGATGTTTTAGACGTGTTTCTTTGAGTTTTAAAGCAATGTTTTCTACATTTGCAAGTATATCTCCAGATGAAAGTTGCAACTTCAACTGCTTCATACAAGGTGTCATTTTCAGGTAAGTTTTTAGATCTATTTTATTAAACAAACCTTCAACTTGTTGTTGATAGATTATAATAAAATAGATTTGTTCTTGAACAAATTTATATAATGAAGGATATTCATGAATTTTAAAATTAGAATTTAAACAATATTCTAAAAATTTATTTTTAAATTCTAGATTGTTTAGTAATTCCTCCCGAAGACCAAATGTATTATTAGATATCTCCAAATCATTATTTAATTGTTCTTCAAGTTCTATTTCACATTCGCTTAGTTCCAAAAACCACTGAGTTTGTAATGCAACATGATAAAAAGCATGTGCAAATTTATGGCTAGAATTTCCATCTAACCAGCATACTGATAATGGTAAGTGCACCCATGGGCAGTAATAACAAATTAGAGGTTATTTGCCTTTTTTTCAAATGAACTAGATCATTTCAGGCTAAAATTCATAATAAAATTTGGGTCATTTGAGGTCATTTGAGGTCATTTGAGGTTATTTGAGGTTATTTAAAGGTCATTTGCTATTACTGCCTATGGAGACATCCATTTTAAAAAACTTTCATATGCTTTGTTCATTTCCTGTTCTAAATTGTCAAAGAGCTCACAAAAGTCTTCATCATTTAGTGATTTGAGTGCTGTTAAGAGTTCTTGTCCAAAAAAGTAGCAAAATTTTCTTTGAGCTCATACAAAAACTTTATTCACTTATTTATTTATCAAGCATTTTGTGAACATGTTGACTGAGTGGAAGTTGAACTAAATAGTTTTCTGCTTGAATACAAGGTATAGGGTCCTGTCCAGCCATAAATTGCATCAATGGACATATAAGTGCTCGCTGAACATAACTTAGCACTAAACCTGAATATTTAGTTTTTGTCTAAAAGCCAATCCTAAAATAAACGCCTAGTTAGTAAGTATAAAAAAATTTATTAATATATATATTTAAAATAAAGGTTAGACAATTTTCTAACTCTAATTTATTTTTAATTAAAATCTTATACACATACCAATCTGAAAGATACTGTATGTGGCTGGTGTATTTGGTTTATTTTCAAGTTCCTGAATAAACCAATTTGCAAATTCTATATATGCTTCACGTAGGTCTAAATATTGCTTTGCAGCATGTAATTCATATCTCTAACGATTCCGAATTGGCAATTGGTACTGAGAGAAATAAAACCCTAACAATCTATCATACAATTTTTGAATCCAACTTGATTTCATATTAAGAGGTTTTCCTTTATTACTTGAATTATATCCATCATGAAGTTGCCAAGCTAAGTATAATAAGTTATATGGTTGTGGTGTATGCAAAAGTCCAATCGAAGAAGGTAACTTGCCAAAAGCCTCTTCAAAATTTAAAAATACAATATGCATGATGTGCATACCACAACTAATTCATACAGTATTTATATTTGCCTTTTTATTAAATTGGATGATTGCTCCTTTTTTATTATCTGACATATAGGCTGTATTGTCTGTTAGCCATGTTAAATATTTTTTTAGATCAAGCCCATGTTTAGTAATTGCCTTAAGAGTACTATCTGCTACTGATTGACCAGTGCAGGTATTTAATCCTCGAGATTGGTCACAATCATGGATGGTATATTCTTTTTATGATCCAAAAACATAATACATATTATAAAATATTTAAATTCTCCATGAGTTGACTCATCTACAAAGATTCCATATTGCGAATATTGTGTAGCCTTATATATAGTGGCTTCAGTTTCAATTTGTGAAACATCTTGGTGCCAGGTACTGAGAGTTGTTACAGATAACCATCTCTTTGGAAGTTCACTAGTTAAAACTTATAGACTAGTCGCAATGATTCAGTGGTCGCAGTTAAAGAGGTTTGGCTAATTTGCAAAATTCTAGTCAAAAGCCAAACCATCTTAGTGAGTATTCTTGATTATTTGTTTTAAATAATATGCTAACTTGAAGCTTGAATTCATTATGAGATATCTGCTTCGATTTTTGTATCAATGATCAAATAGTCAAAATGTGATTTTTAACTTGTTTTGAAGATGTCAATTTGAACTGCCTAGTAAAGTGAAAAGTTTTTGTTATTTTTGGGTTTCAAAAAAACTTATGCCCACTATTTTGGGTTCAAAACAAAACAACAAAAAAAAATAGAACTGCTATCTTGGGTTCAAAAAAAAAAAAAAATGCAACTGCTATTGGCAAGCATGAATGTAATTTTGTACCACAATTGCTATCTTGGATTCAAAAAAAAAAAGCTTAATGCAACCTTAGGTTGAACTATAGTTTAGGTGGGCAAATCCTGATCTTCTGATCTGCTGCACAGATCTTCTATAGTATAGGTAGGCAACTTCACAATTATCACATCAAATAATCATGATAATCACATAATATGAGCAATTTTCAAAATTTCAAATCAAACGTATATACGTATGTACATACGTACTACATTTTTTAAATCTTAATCTAATCTTAAATATAAAGCCAAAAACTGAACTTATTTTAAGATCAGCAAAAAACCTTAAAATTTAATCTGCAAGTGCACATACGTATATACTTGATAAGATCTTGAATCAGAAATTCTTTTCTGTTTGTTTAAAAGTATCACATCTTTGGTAATAGTAAGTTAAGTTTTTTTTTAATTATCGTAAGATTAGTAAATATGAAGCACAAGTGTTCACTTGCAAAGTTCTAATAGAGAAACTAAGGTTGCATTTATAAAAATACATTGTTTAACATTTAACGTCATGTAATTAAAACTGACAAACTGAACAGCTATGCATTTCATTTCATAGAACTATTAACATTTTCTGATCCAAACAATTTATGTATTTTTGTTTAAACACAAACTTTCTATATTTTCTAGGCTTCTAGAGAAATAGTAGTACAGATATTTCGAGACTTCTAGAGAAAAACTGGTACAGTAATGGAGTTGAAAAGAACTTGCGTAAAGCCTCTCAATCTTATATATAAAATTAGCAGCACTGATAGAATATATAATGTTGCCAAAATGGAATTAGCATTGAAAAGGAGCCTTCTATTCAAAAATTGTTATGTGTTATATTAAAGAGATATATAGTTTGTTATTTCTATGACAATCGAATTGGAGTTGAAAAGGAGGAACATAAAGCATTTATTTATTATTAAAAAACTAATTAAGGTGATATTAACTTTGGGTAAGTTATTTCTTATTAATATAAGTGGTTTTTCCTTGAAGCTTACTTGTTCTATTTGTTGAATTAAAGCACTGTTGACTTCAGGTATTAAGCTGTGTTTTTTTTTTGTGAATCAAAAGTTAATACTTAATATTCCATCTATTCCATTAGATTAATCTTCCAATATTATCAAAAATCAGCAGAGATAGAATACGCTGATGAAATTTGAGTTGAGAAGAATAAAAACAAGAATTCAATACTAATATGTGTTATGTTAAAGGAATATATAAGCTTGGTTAGTTCTATAACAACAGAATTGGAGTTGCAAAGAATGAACATAGGGCAATGTAAACTTCAGTAAGTTATTTTCTTATTAATTATATAGTTTTCTAGAAACTTACTCATACTATTTGTTGAATTAGTAAATGTGAATTAAAAGTTAATGCTTACCATTTCATCTATTTTGTTAGATTCATCTTTGAATATTATCAAAAATCAACAAAGATAGGACATGCTGATGAAATTAGAGTTGAAAAGAATGAAAACAAAGTATTTAATTCACTGATGTTTTATGTTAAAGAAATATGTGAACTTTGTTATTTTAACAATAGAATTGGAGTTGAAAAGGACTAATATAAGATATTTATTTATTGATTAAGATGATGTTAAGTTATTTTTTGTTAATATAAGCATGTTCACTTGAGCTATTTGTTGAATTAGAGCACTATTGGCTTTGGGAGGTATAAAGTTATACTTACTTTTACTAGTTTTTTTTTTAGCTTTATATTTTTAAAAAAAATTATTTTAATATAATCATTTATAGTATTATATACAGTATTTGCTATACTTTTTAAGTTTTTTTTTGTGAACCAAAAGCTAATA